AATTACAGGCATGTGCCACTCAGATTCTTGAACAATTTGATAAACAGAGCCAGTGAGTAAAATTACTACTGGGCTTCTGCCTAAAAATATCTGCTTTGATGACGTATTATAAGTTGCCCCCACTTACAAATCAGTTATTACTGAGGAGTATTTTTTTCCTCCAAATTCACAGATGATCTCCCTCTAGGTCATGATCTTGAATGCTTACTTAGACCACCAGACATCATAAGATACAGAGAAAAGGCATGAACAGAATGTGTCATGTCCAAAGGAAACTAATCAGTATAGTGTAAATGGGTCATTTATAGCAGTTCTTACATATCTTATGTTTGATAGAAATAAAACAGTAATTACTATATAGCATTTAGTTCTGTCCATCTTCAAAGAAGTTTTCAGATATCAATTATGACTCACAACTCATTTTAGGACAAGTTAATCCTTGTGGGAAAGACATTATATTTCCAATTCAGAGGTGAAGAAGAGATACACAGATGCTTACTTTTCTAAGATTAAGCAATTTCCCCAAGACAATAAGTGACCCAGACAGAATTTTGAGTATTAGTGCTTAACCACTATACTATAAGATCCATTTATTGGGGCTGGAGTTATAGCTCAGCCGTAGAGTGCTTGACTCACACATGTGAGGTACTAGGTTCCTCAGTACCACGTAAAAATAAATAAAGATATTGTGTCCATCTTAAAAAAAAATCTTTAAAAAATCCACTTCTTATATCTATCAGATGTGAAAAACATAATTACTGTGAGTAATAAGATTATAAAATAATGGTCTACAAATATCAATTAAAACTTATACCATCACATTTTGTGAACAGAAAAGTTCTTCATGACACATATTTAATATATCAAGTAAACCATAAATTTGAACCTATGGGATACTGGGCATATTAAAATGCTCATATGATATACCATTTAAAAAATATATCCTTTTTCAGATTACTTCAGGACATATTATAAGTATAGATACAAAATTATAAAGGCAACCAGGTTATTGAGTCACATGTTAAACATTAAAGTTTAAAAAAATAAAAAAAAAACTCTTAAAAACATTCTTGAAAGAATGCTGCCTCCTCCTCCCACAAAAAAGGTCAACTTCTATTAACACATGCCTATATAATATGCCTATTGGACAAACAGTGGTCTAAATAGAACCATTATAGAGGAAGGGCTCTACAATGAGACTGGGAACAAGGTCTTGCCTCTCCTTGTACCCTTAAATCACATACCAACATATTCATATATGATATATACCAAATTCTGTGTTAATATTGTGAATACAGAATTTTAGACTGGGCATGTCAATAAATCATCTAATCTAGAGATTCTAAATGTATAGGGATCCATGGATAGACTCCAAAGAGTCAGTGACAACCAGAAATTTGTCATAGTTTTGTTTGTTTGTTTTAGGGCAGTGCGAAACTCAGGGACTCACACTCACCAGGCAAGCACACTCTACCACTGAGCTATATCCCCAACCTCAGGCACCTGCAACTTGCAAACACCCTATAGGGTACATGTGAAGGGTTCCATAGACAAGTTTATCCTCAAATAAGTCTACATTCAATCCACAAATGTTTTCATATGCTTCAGAATTACAATGAAATATTCTGTATTCAAGTGATACTACTTTTTAAAATACTACTGCTCTAAAGGGGGCATAAAATATATTGTACCAATATTCAAACATTCATTTAAAAAAATCTTCAATTCCATTGCATTATAAGCCACTACTTACTGACAAGACGATCTTTCTGATGTTTGACACATAGAGTGCCACATAGTCTTGTATGTAGACTGGTAGATCAGTTATTTTCACATTATACCAATTCATCATCAGTGCTATTTCATTTTCATTATTGCCACTCCATACGATGATAGAGGGATGAGATTTCAGTCTCCTGACCTGAAATGTAAGAAAACTTAAAAACAATCTTCCAATACTTAACATAAAAGACTCAGAGCTATAATTATTCAGAAAATTATAGCTACTGCATTTTGGCACACAAATTCTTCTGTGCCAGGGAACTCATTAGAAAATTGTCAGTCATGTTAGCTGAGGGAATACATTTTAAGAATTCTCTGAGATTCTTTGTGTCTAGATTTAGTACACACTGATGAGGTAGTAATCTTTTCTCTCTGCTGTACAAAAACTGAAGAAAATATAATCCTTTTTTAAAAAACGAAAGCAGATAAAGAAATAGACCTGATCATTATCTGAATTGCCATGAAAAGGTTCTAAGAATCACAAAAGGCAAGAGACATTACATTACAGGGGTTAGTTCTCAGGAGCAAGCTGAAGTTTTGTGTGAAGAAACAAATGAAGCAGACCAAGCACTATCACTGCAAGAGGGACAGAGGTTCCCCTGCTGCCTCTTAAGAATAACTAGAAGAGAGCACTCAGGCTACAAACACAAAGTGAGGCTGAGGAGATAGAAATGTTCATGACCCTGATTTGATCAGTATATATTGTACACTTGGATTGAGATATCACACTGTGCCCCATAAATATGTACAATTATTATGTTAATAAAAAATATTCTTAAAGGTTTAAGGAAATGGAAATGCTAACCACCCTGATTTGATCATTACACGCTGCATACGTTCATTAAATTATCATATTGTTCCCCATAAATTTGTATAATAAAAAATAATTTTTTAAGTTAAGAAACCCAGAAGGAGAACTAGAGAAGATGATACAAAAAGAGTGAGTACTAGAGGGATTCTGGAAGTAAAAGACATGCAGGTGGAAAACAGGTTAGAGAATGTCTCCTGAAAGAGCTCTCAATGTCATGTATTATCATGTATTATAACATCAACTAAGGTTTAATAAGCTACTGAATATACCTAAATACAAAAGAAGACGTCAGAGAGTCTGTCTGAAAATCCTGCCAGCTGGGAGCAATAGGGCCAGTAGGAGCTGGGCCCACCTGGGCCAGCCCTAAGTAAAGGCAAAAAGATCCAGATCTGTTATGCTAAGGACAGACATGAGCATGCCTCTGTCTTCTGACATACTGGGCCATGTGCCCCAGCATAGGTGGGCACTTTGATGTCCTTGAAAATGAGAATGAGTCAATGGTCAAGAGAAATTCCTCAGAAATATGTTTTGACACTACTACCTTATTGATATAAAACCTTCTCTTTCACTTTGATGGACCATTACCACAAGAAGCTGTGAAATTCAGATAAATGTAACAGCAGCATAGTGTATATCAAAGGGATGTGCTTCATTTAAAGAAAAAGTTAAAAGCTTTGTGTTTTCTAAAGTAACTCTGTAAACAGTACAGCATTTTCCCTTTTTGCAACAGTACATGTTGCAAAGTGAGAGCTGCTATCAACTGTGACAGGCAGATTTATGATGCTGATGAATACACACACACACACACACAAAAAAAAAAAATCCCAAAGAGACAAAAAGCTTCCATGACTCGGTGTCACACACACCCTTCCACTGACTTTTATGGTAAGTCTTACCCCTAAAATTTTAACAAGCTTTACCTAAAATGGTTCTCCTTTCTTTAATAAAACAAAAAGAACTGAAGGTACATAGATGTTATAGCTTGTATAACTATGATTAATATTTTAAAAGTCATTCATGCATGCATCCATCCATCCAGCTATCCATTCAATGAATAATCCTGCCAGGGAGAAGGGATATAGAGGAAAACCAGCCACAGGCCTCAGGGAGATGACAATCTTATAGGGGCAACAAAACCCTGAACAAGTGTGTGTGAATCACTAAGGACAAATGAGGGTGTCCTAATCTAGATTTAAGGATTTAGAAGGGTTTTTCCCAGAGAAAGTTATGCTCAAAGTAAGAAGGGCCCAATGAGGTGGTCCACCAGGAAGGGGAGGAGAGATGTAGTAAGACACAGAGAGGAAGAGGAAGATAGTGTTTGAAGAGGCTGGAGTCATGGGCAGGGACAGAATCCCCCATGCTGAAGATCTTTAATTTTACCCTGAGAGCAACAGGAAGCCTCTGGAGGGCTCTTAGCAAGCAAAGGATGCAACATGCACTTTTTAAACCTTTAATTTAAAAATGAAACAGCCACAGAAAACAATCCTGATGTAATGAATCAGGCTATTACCCTTATAACCATTGCCCAGACTAAGCAGCAAACTCTCCCCCAGAGCCCTCCATATACCTCTTCCTAGTCATAGACCCTTCCTCCTGACAAAGTAATCTATATCTTGAGTGTTACAGTAGTCATTTCCGTGCCTTTCTTTATGGTTTTCCACCGAATACATCTGCAGATATCATCTTATAAACAGATTTTTAATATATTGAATGGATTTCAATCCATTGACATTCTTATCCTTTTTGAATCTCAAATTTTCCTACTTTTGATTAGTTAGAGTCTCTTCAAAGTCCTTTTGACTTTGATAACTTCCTTATTATCTGTATGTCAAGATAGACCAGGATCAAGATTCTGAGCAGGAGTGTGGTACCACTCAATGCGTGTCAGAAGGATGACCTTGGCACTTCTGCTGAGAATTCACTCACACTGGGAGAGATCCATGCTAAAGAGGCTAACTAGAAAACAAATGCCAACTGTAGAGAAGAGAAAAAATGAGGATTTGAACTAGTGTAGTAAGTATAAAGCTGAGAAGTATAAATACTGTACACATTTACATATATTATGCCATTTAATCTTCAAAATGGCTTTATGAGAACAATAAAATCATACCTGCTTTACAGACTTCGAGACTGGGGCTCAAGCAGTAAATCAACCTCCCTACAGTGGCAGGCTGACTATTAAAGAAGAAACCAAAATACTTATTCTTTGTATATCACCATTGCAAAAGAAAAGAAAATCTAGAAGACAATTGGACATGAGAAGCTGAAAACAGAGTCAGAAATAACCCATAGTATCTTTACCTGAAGTTACTGAAAAATATATATGTTTCCTCCTTTGAGGAAAACAGAGCATTATAAAATCTACTCAGTATGTCTATATAGTCTTGTAAAATCTAGAAAGTAGACGTGATCTCCTGATCTAGTGATCATCTTTTGTGAATACGAGTGGACCACTCCAGCGAATGTTTCAGTAGTATTTGGTAGTATTATACATATAATAATATGTTAGCCAAATATATTCACAAGTTAGTTCTTAGCTATGTGGGGAGTACAAGTTCAAGCTCTGTTCATTTGGATAAAGGGGAGTACATTATGATTCAGAATTTTCTTATATTGCCAAGAATGCCACACTGAGTTTACATAGCAACTTAAGATCTAGGAGATAGGTAAAGTAATGTAAACTGTGTTTCAAAGCATAATCACCCCCTAAACAGATCTCCCTGCAAAAAATAAGTATATTCAGCATATGACTGATCAACCTCCAATCTGTGGCGGAAATTATCGGTTGATGACATTATAATAGACTGCATTCTTTTAAAAAAGAGAGAGAGAGCGATTCCAGGATAATTAGATATTTCTGCTCCAGACCTCAAATCAGCCATTTCTCTAGGATGCTTTGCCTTATCTTTCAAGTACTGGAGATTAAACCCAGAACCTTGAGTATATGGTAT